GCAAGTTTTCGATGATGAAAATGTTGCAATCAGAACTACGGACCAACGAAGCAGCGATGAGACGCGTTTTACCTAGCAAGGGAAACTGCATACTGCCTTGTGCCGGTCGCAGGTTGTTCGAAAACGGTCAGCTGACGACGAAGAAAACTCTCGATTCTAACCGAACGGGTCTGAAGGCACAGTCATCGTCCCAGTGGAAGTCGTACAAGTGCGCCATATGCACAAAGGCGTTTGGTCGCAGCGATATGCTGACCAGGCATATGAGACTTCACACCGGCATCAAACCGTACGAATGCCATACTTGTGGCCAGTTGTTTTCGAGAAGTGACCATCTGAGCACGCACAAAAGAACGCACACGGGAGAAAAGCCCTATCATTGCCCATTGTGTGCTTACGCCGCTAGCCGCAAGGACCTGATCACTCGCCATGTCAGAACGCACAACCATCTGAGGAAAAAGAATTCTTGGAACAAATACTTCGGAGTTGTTCAAGAAACGACCGAACATCACATCTGTAGTACGTTCGTTTCTGTCATAAGACCTGTCGGCTCTGCGTAATGAACTTTTATTGTGAAAACGTGTTTTGACGCTTAATAAACTGAAATTTGCAAACAATGTGTGCTTAACAAACAATAGTCAGTATTATTGCCGAAGCTGGGAATATCAGAAGCAAACATCTGGGGTTATCAGATTGAAACTAAGCTTTTCGTTGGACTCATTCTGACCTTTGTTGTTGCGCCGGTTCCGCTCTTCCTGATTAAACCGAACATCGCCATTCACCGGTTATGCGCTGTACTGCTTTTGTTCAAATATGCAGCATGAATCTTCTGCTACTCATTGTATTAGTTAACAACATCACCGCAAGACCGAAACCTAATTTTATACAAAATCTTGATTTCACAAAATTCGAGCAAGGATACGTGCAAACTGATCTGTAGTTCTGTCGGGTGGGAATAAATGTTTGTGATGACGTTCAATTCATGAAGCTTTGATCTTTTGCATGTCGCTACTGAATAAAACAGTAATGAGTGCATTGGCTGACTTGACACGTTTTGGCATGGAGTTTAGTGCATCATCGGATCTAACTGATCCCTATTGGTTAGTTGTAATTGTGATGATTATACCGTATTTTGACTGTGTAATTTAAATTATAAACTTTATATCTGATTGTTGTTTGCCATGCTTCTGTTCTGTGCTTAGTGTGCGTCCTAATGATGATGGACAATGTTGTTCAAAACGTCGGCTCAGAATACTTTCGTCTATGTATCTTCATCGTGCCTATTGCCATTGTGTATCCGAACGCATTTTCTTTAGACTTAATACTTCAAACATCGGCATAAATTTAAAAGATGTAGTAAAATGGAACATCTTGTATTGTAGACAGTCCTTTCCTCAACTTAAACAAGAAAAGAAATATACTTTTGTACCAGATACAATGCACTGTACGTCATGTCCATCCAAAATGCGATACGAAATGCAAGGATTGCAGAAAACTTTTGATGATTGCAACGGCTATGATAAACCGCTTTAAGTCACTACAGGAAATTCAAATGATGGTTCTAGGAATTAATCCGTACTTGCTTGACCACCTCTGCTGCGATTTCACCCCGTGCTGTGTACATCATGTTTCAAAGGAAACTCTATGCCCTTGATTAACGACACTTTTGCTTCTGAAACTGAAACCTTGGGAAAGGGGTGCGTAAAGATATTCGAACTGGAAACAATTTACACCACAGCTTTGCTCGACTGTAGTCATTAAAGTAATCACTAGCACAGCACAACATACGCAGACAGATAACATACCGCTCGAAAATCTCTTGAACACAAGACCAATTTTAAAAGAACAACCGTATACATCTGCATTAACTCGAACACATAAACCGAAATTCCGTAAGCCACAAAATAGGACTAAATCTACTGAAGCTGTGAAGAATCAGTGTTAAAGAATATATATTCGACTTACGACTCGATGCATAAACTTTTTCGTCGTCAGATTCGAGTAGTTTTACTGTACGGTAGAAAACAGCAAAACAGCTGTTGTCGGTGATACTTATTTCATAAAATGTACGTACCAATTCAAAGACTACACGCTGCCGCAACGGCACGAACATCGCACCTACCAGCGTGATAATCAACAATCTGGAGCCGGCCGGCAATGTGCTTCGTGTGCATGCCACCGGTTTTGTGTCAGACCAGTGAGCCATATAATCTTGAAAAAAACTGTTACCCAGCGCTGCCGTGGATAAAGTCTGACGGTTTAAGATCTTTATTCACTGCCTCATCATAATAACGGTCATGCAGCTGTTGTAACCGCAGCGAAAGAGCTTCAGGATCGCCAATATTTTCGATATCCAACGTCTGCAAGCTTTCCATCAATTCCCGCTTTGCCTTCTGATAAATCAGTGCATGAACCGACGGTGATGCACCTGTTCCTGTATAGAAGGTCAGTAAAAACAGCAACGCTGTCAAGAAGAATTCTGGAACAATAAACATTATAAAACCGGCAATCAACGGAACTACGCCGTTGCCGGTCCCAAGCTCGCATCAGAAAGGACGAGGATAGGGAATCGTGGCGAATTCTCCCGTAAAACTTAGGCACGTGCCCCTCATGACACTGCCGTTGTCGAACGCTATGCCGGCTTTGTCGTCGACCGGGTCACCAAGAACTGGCTGTTGGAAAACGGCAGACTGCGCAAAATCATTGATCCGAACTTGTTTCTCGCGTTTTGGTAGTTGAGGGAGTAGCAGCACGGAGGCGGCTATCGAAAACAGATAACCATAAGACATA